CCTTCAGTCAGACTCTTGAGCTTTTGAGTTACTGTGTTTACCTGCTAAATCTGCTGTTAGCAACCACTTTCTCTTGTGGTTACAGATCAGATGAGCAGCTAGACAGTGTTGCTGGCCAGCTTGGTACTGAGACACTTGGCAAAGAGGTGCTACAGGAAGAGATGAGTAACTCTTCCCTCTGAGAATATCAAACAAATAACTCAGGGGGGTGCTAAGGCTCTGTATGCATGAGAGGAGTTCCTCCTCTGTCACTGGAACTGTAAAACTGAGTCTGTCCTCACTGCTAAATATTCATTTTAACAACAGGTCCTCTTATAAATGCACTAAAATTTGGTCTTTCCTTTATACTTGCATTATCTACTTTTAGATACCTTTTCTCACAGTTACTTGTAACTTTTTTTTAAATTTACCTTGAGAAACTGGGGCAAAAAATTACAAGAGCAATCATGAATAAAGATAAGGAGCTGTGCCATCCAAGTTATTATGTAGCTCAAGCAGTGGTTTGGGTCCTAGCAAATCTTATATTCTTATTCCAGTGATAACTCTATTTCAGTGACAAGCAAACTCATGTGGAAGAAGAGCTGGTCCGTGTGTAGCTCCCTAAGTAAATTGTCATGCTTGTTGGTCACTTTAAAATTTGGAGTATGAAAGCCAATCTAGAGCTGAAAGCACATAAGAAGGCTTTTCATAAATTGCTATGGCTTTGGTGAAATAAATGGTTGTGCAAATTTTGTCATTATCAAAGCCTTGGCTGTCTCTCTAGGACATGGGGATTTTCATCTCATACACTTTCAAAAAACAAGTGATTCCCAATTATGCCAGTGCTGTGCCCACACGTGGATCAGAGGATACAGTATAACTATGGAAATCCAGTACTGTATATACTGCTGTAGGGAATGGGGTGAGCAAAATGCAGCTCAGATTAGGCGGCCACAGGGCTTTGTTCTGCCCATAAACCCTCTGAATCTTCCTTCAGGGCACACACACACGCCCACAGGGCTGTAGCCAGCACCTCTGGGTACACTCAGTTCCAAGCTGTGTGGCACAGCCGCCCCCAACGCCTCTGGCCACAGTGGCTCACGAATGCCAGAAGAGGCTGTGATTACAGGTGCTGCTGTTACTGCAGCTACTCCTGACCCTCCTGGCAGGACAGGGGAGCAGAAGCCACTGTGACTGTGATCAGACCCATCTCCTCCTCTCTGCAGAGAGGAGCCTGAGTGGTTCTTGCCCTGCTCTTGCTATGGTGTGCCCATGTGGGAGTAACGAGTGCTTTGGGCCACAAATATACATAGCTAATAGCTATTACACAAACAGGGAGTATTTGTCTCATTAAATGCACTGGCAGTACACAGGCTCCTCTGCTGCATCACCTCAACTCAGGCTCTGGAGGAGAAATCTTTTGAAGATGTGTTCCAGAAGCAAGCCTTTACTTCTTCTGAAGGAGATAACATGTCAAAATAATTTGTCAAAGATAAATTTCAAGAACATTTCTGCTTCTTATTTCTGATAGTTCATGAAAGTTCCTGCCCCTAAAGAGCTCTTATATGTATCTGTTTTTGAGCTCCCAGGCCTGCCTCCCCAGCTCAATCTTTGAAACACCATACAAAAGAAAATATGCTGTTTGTTGAAAAGAAGTGGCTTGGTACACACCTTCTGCTCTGCCCACTTTTGTAAACAAGTTCAGTTTAAACTTCTGTTGGTAAAAGTGTGGTGGGCACATGGAATGGAAGTGAAATACTCTGGTGCTTGAGTCTCAGTGGATGTGTCAGCTTTAGAAAGATTGGGATCAAGAAGAGAAGAGGCAAAATTAGGGGCAGAAATAGTTTCATAGTTATTTTAAGTTCGTCTTTCAGCATTTAATTTTGAACGATTTCTAATTTTTTTGTTGGTGTAGTAGTAACATTCTTTCAGAAAATTTACACTGGGAAAATTATTGTAATTTGAATAATTATCTCCTTTCCCTCATGTGGGAATCCCACAGCAGATACAGTGTATTTGTATTTAGTGGTATGCAAAATTCTATAAGAAAAATTTTAAGGCTAAGGAACACAGCTGTGTGTTTCACTACAGTTCACTCTTGACCTGTGCAAAATAAAATAGTTGCTATGATATTTGAAGATGGAACCTCAAAATGCCATTAAAAAATTATTTTCTTTCTTTGCTAGTAAGATTATGATAGTTTCCATACTGTGTCACACTTATGAGTAAGTGACTATACTACATTTTACTACTAGCTATTCCTAATCTGGTTTTTTGCTTTTTCACTAGTGCTGATCTTTGTTTCAGTACAATTGAAGGTACAGTGTGCTGGGACTCCTGATGGGAAGGAGTCCTAGAGGGAGAGAGGAAATGCCTTAAGGCTTATGCACTAAAAACAGTGAGTAAAAATCCAGCCTGTATTAGGATGTAGTTTCTTTTGTTCTCACAAGCACTTCCCATTGGAAATTTGGGGTTTCTCATCTTATTAACGATTCATCATTGTTATCAGGTCTGATATGCACTTTTGCTTAGTCGCTGCCTGAACTCTCCATCATTCTGTGAGTTTTCCTGCTGTGAAATCCTGCCTGTGAAAACTAAGGTTCAAGTGCAATAATTAAGCTTTTCTCAGAAAAAAAATTCCCTCCCACATGACTCAATGCATATTTAGGACAGTGGTGTGATGTGGTCGGTGCCAGCCTCTGGATGGAACCACAGCCTGGAGACACCAGGGGTTCCCCATGGGCCTTTCCTTGCTGGGACAGGCACACCCACGAGTCATGAGGGAGGGAACATGTGGAGGGAACCCATTGTGTTCCTTAGGCCTGGAACAAGATCTAATGTTATTAACTCTGAAAGACCTTCTAAAAGTCAAACCTAATTTTGACTTTTGATTTTGTTCACTCTGCCTCTTTCTCCTTTTGTTTTATTTTGGGCAGGTGTTACTGTGCCTGGGATCTGTGGGCTGATGAGAATATTTAAAATTTTATCAAGACTGTAGTTGTGTTTTCTTTTAATACCTGAAGACACTGTTATTAATATTGCGAGTTAAAAGCCTTGTAAAAATGTTTTTCTTTAGGCAAACAGTAGAGAAATAGCCACTTATTAAATGAAGTTACATATTAGAATATTTATTTATTTATACTTGCGTAGTTTGGTTTATGAGATAATACAGCTTTTAAATAGTTGGTTTTGTCACGTTTTGTCATTTGCTAAATAATTTGACAAATTTGCTATAAACTCCCTGACATTTTTGCTCAAAAGAGTTAGTATTCTTCATTCTTTGCTGCCAGACAGGTCGTGTATCTTTTCAGGCCTGAAGAATTTCTATCAGCTATTTAAATGCAAGGCCACAAAGAGAAAGCCAGACTCAGGCTGCAGCAGGCTGAACTGGGGTGATTCAGGACCAAAGGAGCTGCAGCACATAATTAAACTGTAACTGCACCGTGTTCCAGGCTTTAGACATGGCAGTGTAAACTGGCTGCTTTTCCCGTCAAAAAGGGGAACGTGCGCAGCTATCACAGGCACTGCATGAACAAGGATGATGAAAATGGTTATGGAGTGACACTTAAAAAGTTGGGGTTTTTTTTCCTACTACTTAGGCAGGGAATTTGACTAAAGATGGCTGCTGGCAGTTCCCTCTGCCGAGGGAAGAGGATACGTCCCTGCTTCCCAGCTTTCAGTGCCGGCAGGAAAAGAAAGGGCAGAGCTGGGCATTGGTCTCCCCTTGGCGCTAATGGCAGCCGCCTTTGCTTTTACTCCCTGCAGCTGGGCTCGGAGCCAAGGGAATTATATACAGCCATGGCTGTGTGTTGAAAGGAGGAGGAGGAGGTAGGATAATCTTTCCCAAGGCTTCTTGCACCTCTCTCTGATGTTGCCCTCTGCAGCAAGTTTCTCTTCACCTGTGAGACAGCTCACAGTACTAAAATGGGACTGGGAAGATGCTGCGAGCTCATTTTTAGTGCAGCAAAAGAAATCTGGTACAAAGGAGCCATATCCTTGTGTTGGCCCTCAGACAAGTAGGTGATGCATCCCTACTCCATGCAGCTGAGCAGCACAAGCAGGGAAAGCCTCCAAGTTGGAGTCGCCACCGGCTTGTGGGTTTGTAACTGAGCCGGGGCTGATTCCACAGCACAGGCCCTGCTGGCGGGTCTTACATCGTGGTGTCAGCAGCCTTACCGTGATTTTTAAACAAGGCTGTGTGTTAAATTTGATGGGAGAAGAAATATAATTTTAAAATCTATTGCCAACAAGTGGATTTATTGATGGTTTTCAGAGAAGTACCTCAAGGGAGCAGGCTGTGAGGCTTCTTAGGCACAAGTGTGATGGTGAATGAGGGAGATGCACACAGGGATGTGCTTGTATTGGTGAAGGCAGCACTGCAGCATGTTCCCACTGTGAATATGGGGGGAGGGGAATAGCCTGGAACTGCCACAACACTGCCTGAAAACCACAAGCACAGAAAGCAACAGTACCTGGAGTCCCATGACAGGGCCTGGAAATCCGCTCTGAAGGGTTCTCAGCACACGCTTTCTGAGGTTCTGCACAGGTGCCATTGCCCTTTTGTTTATGTGGCAGCGGAGGGAGTGTGTACAGAGGAACACGCACAAGTTTATACAACTGCCTGGGTTTAAAAGCATTCTTTTCCTGAAGGATGTATTTGGCCATGACCATTTATTTGTTCATTGGTGTCTAGTGCTGAAATTAGGCATACCAACTTTCGTCTTCTATAAACCAGATGGGCAGCTTTCCCAAGATGCTGGGTTGCTGCTTTCCCTTCAAGCTTGCTGCGGTGATGGGCTTTTGCTGGCTGGCAGACTACTGCCTGTGCTGTGCAGGTAGCCTGGTGGCTGGTGGGGGAGGGGCTTATGGAAAGGAATCTGGAGCCATTTCCATGTCTTTGAAGGTGTTTCTGGCTCTGGCAGTTTGCTGACAGCGAAGCCTCTTTCCCCTTGTGTCTTGTGCATCTCTTCACTCAGTGGGGTGTCGTAACTCCTGTCATAACTTGCAGGCTTGCCTTGCAGACTTCCATCTATCCCTTCTTTTTCTTGCTTTGACGACAGCGAGCTCTCTGAGCATAAGCTCTTTTCTGCCCACGTTCATGCCCTTGAAAAACAATCTTACGAGGGAGGTCAGTTTATTGTAGCAATACCTAGGGATTTAGGCAAACTCAAGAACCCATATTTCATACTTTGTCCAAGGAAACACATAAGAAGGTGTAACTTTTGCCCTGAAGACCTGTAACAGTATATTCTGCTGAGCCTGGTGCATCCTCTAAAGTCATCGGGGACATAAGTTATAGCTTCCAGGAAGAACAGTGGCTTCAAATCAATGTAATGCTGTAGGTAACTCATCTGACTGGTAGGAATGTATTGAAAAACAGGGAGGAACAGGAGTGGTTGCATTTGCACTGTGGGTTGACAAAGGTTTGAGCAGCTCAGCGGCTGCTGACTTGCTACATTGGACTTGTACCAGTGAGGAAAAAATCTCAGCAGTGCCTGGGACTCCACCAGTGTGAATGAGGTTGTAGGACTGGGCTTCACAGAGCACTGTTTGATCCTCGATTGAACCAAAATTCACATGAGTGATTTATTTTATGCCCAGTAAGAGGTCTTCCAAAACAGTGGGAATACTCGAGGATATAAGCCTTTGCCAGACTAAGAATTGAAAACTGGTGTGATTTCCGTATTTAATTTGAATTTTATTTTTTAATGCATCACGTGATGGGGAACAGAATATATGAAGGACCTTTGTTTTGTACACAGAAGTGTTTCAGCCTCTGTAGTTTAAAAGCAAAAAAAAGAAAAAAACACAGAAAATGAAGCTAGAAGGCAACAGCTAAGTTTAAAAGCAAGAAAGATTTTCTTGCTAAATATCCTCAGATCAAACATATTTTAATACAAATGTTCAAGATCATCTTCTGTTGAATGATGACATTTTATTTAGATTTATCTGTTGTAAGTTTATATTTTACGCAAAGACAAACAAAAGAGTTTTTTTTTTTGCAGAGAGTTGGATTGAACGATGTCTCAATGAAAGTGAAAACAAACGTTATTCCAGTCACACCTCTCTGGGGAATGTTTCTAATGATGAAAGTAAGTAACTTGTTATTCATTTAAAGTGAGTGTGAACCTGTCGGAGTGCTCATTTCCTGCTATATAAGTTGCTACAGCTCGATTAAATTTATAGTACTGTGTATTTTAAAGAGTCAACTCACTTGACATACTCAGTAGTTTTACTAAGTTTTTTTTCTGGGATATTTGCATTTTTAAAAGGAAATAATACTGTTTATTGGATAAAGCAATTAGAAGAATTTGTGTGTCACTGGATGAAGGTTGAATGACCACTAAAATGTGCTGTTAGGATCAGCTTAGAAGAAAAATCACCTGTTTTGCTTTTCACTGGTGAACACCATGTGGTCAAAATACGAGGAAAAAATGTGCTGTTTTCCAATGCTGCTATATCAAAACATAAATTAAAAAAAAATTTCCATTAAGAATTAAACAATTGTGAGATTAAAAAATCACTTACTAAAACATGATATTGTTTTCTTTTTAGTCAGAGAGAGAAAACATTTATCAATCTAGCTGATTTTAAATAAACTGTTTTTTTTTCTTTTCTAGTGATATTAATTTTAGATCTTGATTTTTAACAATAGCTGGTAATCAAAATTATTTCAAAGTAGTTTAAAACAACCAATTTGTTTGTTTTTAAAATTGCAAGACAATTTCTAGCCTACCGTTTAGTTTTTCCTGTTTATGCAATTTCTATTCTGCTTAATTTGCCTAAAGGAAAATACTCTTTGTGTTACTTTTCATCTTCAGAATTCATATATTCACATTACAAGATATTAATGTAGATGGAATTCTTTAATCCAGTAACTAGTAATTTACATTTCATAAATATGTGTTTTAAAAGTGTATTTTAAATAACTTCATTGCTGCAGTTTCCTTTTACTTTTTTTTTTTTTTTCCATTTTAAGAGAATTCTTTATTTTGACTTTGTGGCAAAACTACATGCCTTGTAGCACAATATTGTAATGGATCATGAAATTTGCTGTATTGGGGCCTTACTCTCATTTGTCTAGGGATATTTTTGAGGGAATATTTCTGAAGGAGAAGGAAGATGTTAGTAGAAAAATGGTATTTATTCATGACTCCCAAGCTAAGAACCATGAACAAGAATCTTTAAAAATAGACAATGAAACTGGGAGAGGTTTGGGGTTTTCTGTTTTTAAAAATTAAGGAATAGAAATTAATTTATCTTTGAAAAATTATAGTGGATTATAGTGAAAATAAAAAAAGAAGCTTGCAATTTTGAGTCTTATCTTATCTGTGAGATACACAAAGTTCATTTCACTCTGATGCTACTGAGAAAGTGATGGAAGGAATCTGTAATTAATGAGATGTGTCTTCAGACTCTTCATAGGGTCAGAATTCAGGATTGTTAAATGTGCTTTAAATATGAGCATGAGAAATTTCCACATAGCTGGGGCCAGTAAAATGAGGACCTGTGTGGTTAACAAGAGCAGGTGTTTCAGACAGTGGCATTGAGAAGATGGCATGGTGGCTCATTCTGTTTTCTGGTTCTGGAAATAAGGGGCAAGGAATGATAATGAAAGGCAGTGAATTTAGAACTGATAAAACAAAATACATAAATGAATTTGTTCCTCTATTTGTGTGCAGAAGACATTGTCACTGCACATAATGGAAACCCAAATGAGAGGCAGAGTTGATTTTATCTAGCTTCCTTCTTAATAGCCAGTTCTTCCAGATGCTTCCTTTGCACTGATTACCAGCATTTCTGCAGTGCAGATAAGAGAATTAATCCACCTGAAAAGTCATCCTTGTTTTGAGGGGGAGGTGAGGGAAGGGAGAAGGTGAAGAGGAAGAAATAGGAAAGCAAAATAAGCCACAGCAATAATCTGTGAAATCCAGAACAAACTAGAAGTTTCATTGCAGAAATCATTGTCCTATGTGCTCGTTTCTAGCCCTTGAGTTCTTTCTAACATTTTTCTAACACCACCCAAAAAAAAAACCCAGAAATTTCCAAACCATCATGTCATTCTTTGTCCAGCTTCTGTCATACATTTACAAACAAAGCAGGAGGTAAAATGTTTTGAGAAAACCCATGTTAACCCTATTTGAATTGTTCAGAATGGTGGTCAAATTGCTGTTGTCAGGGTTGGTCCAGTTTTCATCTGCAACAAAAAGAAAACCTAAACCACCTTTCTCTTGACTAGTTTTTTTGTCTCTACATACATGAGGCAGCTGTTGGCTGGACTACCAAGGAAAATGTGGGTTTAGTTTTCAGTTGGGGTGGATTTTTTTTGGCCTTGGCTCCGCTGAAGATTGAGAACTTGTGCTGTGAACCAATAATGTTCTTACTGGGCATAATGCTTGCTCTTGTGATTATTTTTTTCCTGGATGATTTTAGAGTTCATAGGGGTTTAGGATTAATAGGAATAATAATTTTGGTGGTCTCCTTTTCTACAGCTGAAGTATGCTACAGAACCATACTTCAGGCCACAGGGGTCCTTTGCAATCTTCCATTCTTATCCAGATATCCCCAGGCCTCTTGAACCTGCATTACACTGGGAAAGTAAATGATGACTCATAGCCATGGATTCACAGGATCTCTGTGCTTCCTTGGGTGCTTCTGACCCTTTTGGAACATTTTATGACCTCTTCCAAACCACAATCTTTACATTCTAGTATAAAAATTATCACTAAGTTTTATTTCACTTTCCAGCTTTTAAAACATTTTTTCCTGCTGCCACTTCCATATTCCACATTAGTCAAAAGATTCACAGGAAAAGGGAACGGTACAATCTTGTAGCCAATAATTGAAAAAAACCAATTCCATAACATTTTCTGTGTACTGTGCATTAAACCAGATTATGCAAATTGAAATAGAGGTCCGGAAGAACACAAAGGCTTGCGAAAGTTTCAACTTCAGTTCTGTGGGGAAGGAATCGTGATGTTTCTTGATGAGGTGGAAGGGTTGCTTGTCCAAATTTTCTTGCTTATTTGGAAATGTGAATGTGTGGACTTCCTAGGAGATAAAAGAAAATATTCAGACTACTTTTTGTGCTTCAAAAGTGGTACTCAAAATCCTTGCTCATACTAGCTGTAATGACTTACCCAGCAGCTTTGTTTTTTGTTTGAAGTAAACCTCTTATGCTTCTATTAAAAAAAAAAAAAAAAAAAAAAAAAGTTTAAAAAAGAGCAGCTACTTGCTTTCACTGAAATTTTCCTTGGAGAAAATTCTTTCTTTTTCAGTTATACCTACTCAGTGAAAACTATGCTTCCATATTTCTCAGAGGATTTTAAAATCTCCCACTGTTCTAAAAGCATGGAATACATGCTAATAAGCCTGAATCTCATTTATGGCTACATGTAAATAGGAGACAAGATAGCTTAGTACTATAATTTAATTTTGGCTAAGGCCAAATCACTTCTGAGAACAGTCACAATCTGGTCTGCAGGAGGTACAGAGGAAGAGGATATTCCTCTGAAAATTGTGCAGCTACCTGAACTAAGGGAAGGATTTTATCTATATAAAGGTAGTAACAGCATGTTAGTTTCTTTCTTGGTTTTGAGACACATGCAGGCAGCACTGGAAAGTACAGGGCTCTCCAATTACCTCCACAGTGGAAAGAAGAACTTAGCTCCATTTTAGTTACAATAAACAGACTAAGACTAACACATTACAATAAAAGGTGTGTCTTCGCTTCAGGTTGTTCCACTCCCTGTGTTTAAGGCAGCAGGCTCAAAGCTGCTGAGTACAGCTCCTGTTGTCTCCGTGCCTTGCACCAAGAAGTAAGAAATCCCTTGAGCCGTACCTAGAATCAGACAGCAAAAGTTAGAGGATCCCACTGAGAGCTCTGGGAAAGCCACAAAGATACAAACACGCACAGGATAGAAACAGGACTCTACTTGAGTGGCTTTGAAACAGAATTTTGGAAGTGAGATGGAGAAGTTAGCAAAAGAACTTCCATGGAGTTTGGGACAAAAGGATCCTCCGATATCTCTGTGAGCTAACAAATACTATTTTTCTAGAACATCATTGATTCCTGGTTTTATTATGTTTAAAGGCCCCTTCTGTGCTGAGACTTTTACTTGCAGTTGTCTAAGATATTATCTGCATTCAGTTTGGGATGAGTACCAAGTTTTCCACTTAATCAGGTACCTTGAAGACACCTTTGCTTGGGATCCTGGTAGTCCTCCTATTGGCAGTGGTGTGAGCATACTTCATGGGTTTCTCCCTGGGGTGCTTTTTGTGAAGCTCTGCAACTGTGAATTGAACAAGATTTTTCCTTGGGACTTCAAGACCTTTTGGATTTGTCACAGAAAAATTGTTATGTCTCTTCTTTGACAGTGCCTTGAAGCAGGACTTCTTTTTGGTCTTTTTATTTCCTTTTCCTGCAATATAGGTTGGATTTTAAAAGTATTGAATTTTAAAAGGTATGCCTTTATTTTAATCTACAGTGTTGTTTTGATGTGAATTGATAAAATGACAGGCCAAAAAGTATGAAATGCTGTTTTCCCTTCCTCTTTCATGCTAGACAAAGTGATCTGGTATCAGACCTGAGTCAAGAGTTAAACATTCTCTGCTTGATATGGACACCATTAGGTGCCCTGCTGACAGCTAAAATATAAAGTATAAAGCTATTTATTATTTTCTGCTAGTCAATTATCTGATAAGATTATATTGTTAAACTAGACAAGGTAGAATGAAGAGCTTTTATATGTAATACTGAAAGTTTGTATTTCTAGGTCCCATCTATTCCTGTACCATCTGCAACTCTTTCCATCTTTGTAATGGAAAAGTAAAAGTTTGGCTGGCAGCTGGTTCATTGACAGAAAACAAAGTTGCACCGTTTTCTTGTACAGAGAATTGTCTTTGGGGTGACAAGCAATAACTCTGTGAAAAATTTAGCTTTGTTGAAAATCCAGTTGTTCAATGGAAATTAACACTTAAAGAAATTTTCTGAGTTACAGTTGAAGTTCATCTTTTCCTTCTTGGTTTTAAGGGACAGTTAGGGGAAGATGCTGAGGGGTCTTCAAGAAGGATCCCCAGGAGACAAATATACCTGAGGAAGGAGACATAAATTGCTGTTTATCACCTAATTGTTAGTTTGCATCGTTAAAAGAAATAGTTAGGGAGGATTTGAGTGGGAGGAGCCGAGTATGGCTAGCGTGAAGTGTGTCTGAGGGCAGGTTGGGTAAGGAACCTGCTCACAGCAGCTCACTCTTAATGCAAGTGAAAAACAGCTGATGGGGGGGATGGAAAGGGTGCAGAGATATTGTGTAACTTAGATATTGACTTGAAGTTTGATGTCTGCCACGTATCCAGAGGGGAATTCAGCCCCGTTAGCACAGGTGGAAGCCATCCCATGACAGGTCCTTGGGTGTGCGGGGCGGCAGCCACGGCCCCTCGGCATTCAGGCCCATGTGCCCGCGTTAGCTGCACACCGACCGCCTGGTTAGGAAAAACAAACGAAACCCACAATTTAGAAGTGATTTGAGATGTGTATGTTGGTCCTGTGTGCTGAATAAAAGCGGGCCCTGAAAGGCAGGGAGGGAGTGTGCGGCCCAATAATTAGGGGCCCATTGTCATGCAGATGCGGGGGGGGGCTGCGCTGTGGGTCCGCGGGGAGCTGCGGAATGGGATTTCCTGGCGCTCAGGGATAAAGGATGTTCGGCCGGCACAGCTTCCCGTGGGTAAGGCAAGAAATCCTGGGGTACGAGGGCTGCACGCAGAGCCTTCCAAGCCGGGGTGTTATTTGTGCTCGTGGGTTCCCCGCACAGCACAAAAGGCCTCCCAAGAGGGTCCGATGTGCCGAGGAGATAGCGCTGCTCCCGTAAGATCCCGCATCCTAAAGGCTCGCTTAAATGACTTCCAAAAGTTAATTGCATGGAGAAATGCGACTTGCAGCGTGGTGTACAGCTTTACCCCATTATTTAGGTATCAAAGCAATCTATGCTGAATGCTTTCATCGGGGACAAAGCTGTTAAAATCTCAAAATGTGTTTGATACAACACTGTTTCCCAAAGAATAACTTTCTGGAGCTGCTGATCGTGCTCCACTAAGCTTTCATCCAGGAATGTTTTATATGTTTAACAAAACATGATTTAGTCAGAATTATTCTATACACATTTCTAAATTGTTTCAAAAGAACAAATGCCTGCTAGGAAGAATCCAATATTTGAAGTTTTGTTTCAATTACTTTTTTCCTTATTCATCTTTTATCCGAATTTTTGGAAAGTCAGCAAACCAGAGTTGCCTTGGAAACGTTAATGGGGGAAATTATCAGAGAAATCACCTGAAAAGGAATAAAGTATATTAAAGAATATACAGTTCTTCTCATTAAGAATTAATCACTCTAAATTTATAAACACCTAATAATTACCTTATGTTAGGCTCAAAAAATGTGTGTACCCCATTAGTTTAAACGCCTTATCTAATATAAAATTTGTGTAATGCAACAGTTCTCTTATAGTGAGTGAAAACTGTTTACATGTTCTCACATGCTGGTAGAGTCTGAGTTGCTTTTTTCCCCATATAAATTTATCCTTTTCAATGTCAATATTCCTAGGTACCACTCTGCTCCTGTTGTCTGTGATATTTGCACAGTTTACTGCCTTAAACAGTATCTACAGATGGTAGTTTAGAGAACATCATTATTTATATTTCTGAATTTTAGCCAGAATTTTGAGAAAGCTTTGGCACTTCAGCACATTTTAATTGTTTTAAAATTTATTTTAATTAGTTTAAGAAAAATTCTTACCATTAAAAAATTATTTATTTTTAAGAAACAGTTCATGAATTCCTGAGAAATTCCTGATGAAATCACACAGCTTTTTTTGTTTGTTTCTTAACAGATGAGGAAAAAGAAAATAATAGAGCATCAAAACCGCATTCAACTCCAGCTACACTGCAGTGGTAAGATGCCTTTTAAAAAGATCAAGAAAATCTCTTAGTGTTTTTTCTAATGCTTTTTCCAGATGAAGGAATAGAGCTCTTGGCCATCTTAGAGTTCTAAAGATCCTTTCACTGTGTTTCATGTGCCTGTTTGTAACCTGTTCAGCATTTCTCAACAAATGTCTTACAGGATTTGTTTGAACAGAGGAAACTTTTGATACAGTTTAGAAAATCGACTAAATGTATTTATTTGCCTTTTCAGCTGATCTTCCGTGGTTTGTCATCGTTGTTACATTTACTGCAAAAAAGAAAACTAGTACTGAGATTTTTTTTCAAGACTCGCATTTGTTTCAGTGTCTGATGAAGCCCACCCATACCAACTGTTTTCCTGACATGAGATCTCTGTAATTTAATGTAGAAGACAACAAAAGGAAAGAGTTTGAGGTTTGATTAATTTGTCAACATCGCGTTACAAAGTTAGTGAGGAGAAAAAAGGAAGGGTAATTAGGAAGAGAGAGGATAGTTTGAGAGTTAGTCTACAGTGCTATAAAAAATAAATAAGTGCTGTTCCCTGTAATTTGCAGCAGTATTTTAGTCTGCATGTTCTGTAATGTGTACCTCTAATTCTGACATCCCTTGCTATAGGTCATCTCTTAGACTCTTGTTGACTTTTGCCTCAATTTAGATATCTAATTCTTGTTTAGATTACTTAATATTGTAAGTCATCAAGTATCTTCCGAGAGGTTCCATATATCTGGCAGAACAGAGCTCTCTTACAGAGAAGCCTCTGAGCACGCTTATCTGAAATCCCATAGTCTTTAGCTTGTTCTAAGCCTTTTTAAAGAAAGGCCTTTATCCATAAATACCTGAAGTACTTCTTGTACTTTCTGGATTAATAGATAAGATTATTGGTTAAAAATGAGAGTTTTTTAAAGCAAAATGTTAGCAAACTTCTTTCTCTGCTTCTGTCAGTCTCTTGGGAGATTTCACTGAAAAAACAGAAAAGAATAATTTATTCGGTGTATTTTACTCCCATTTTTTCTGCCTGTGAAATTACATGACTCTGTGAAACATGCAAAAATGATTTAGATTATTTCTTCTATATTTGCTTTTTAAAGTCGATTGGTGAGGTTTTTAGACTAAAAATCCTCAGGATTTGTGGGTTGATTTTGAATAGGTTGCTACCAGTATTCAGAAACTTACAGATACTTTCAATGCAAATAATGAGATGGGCAAATATAAATAAAGGCATTTAGTTCTGAGCTATTGTTTCTTTGTAGCTGTTTGTATCACAAAAGTGCTGTTTTTCAGAAGTTCAAGAAAAGTAAAGGACTTTTCTTTAACAGACACTCAAAAAAGGGGGTAACTATAGACAGAGAGAAAATTATTAAAATAATAATGAAACGTCATAGTGGTAATTTATTATTATTCACTTTCACAGCTTCAACACAGTTCAAACAGGATAATAAAGAACTATCTAGCTAAAATAAAATAGTGAGCAGGTCTTACCAGTCCCAGATGCAGAGCAGTGTTTATTTTGCAGTGAAGTCAGTTAAGAGCCTTTTCCACAGGAGCAAATAATGTCATAGCCAAGAAGCCAGCATTAATTAGAACATCCAGTGATACTGTTCCCAACAGAAAACATGCAAATACTGTAAACAGTCTTTTGCCAAATACTTTCAAGCTTCGTCAGTCATAAAGGTTAGTAAATCCCTAAACTCCTGGGATATTGACCCCTGCTGGAATGTAGTGTGCACACTAATGCTCATTCAGCTGTGTTTGCAGTAGAGTCCTAGAATTCTGGTTCTGAAAAGGCTGCTTGCAACTTCTTCCCTTCTCTCTTGGTAGTGTACTGGCTTACTACCTGTCTGTTGTATTATGTTTCTTACATGTTGAAATAGGTCAAATATTCTCCCCATTGAGTCTTCTGGAGCATCTGCAATTTCCTCCATTCATCTTTCACCCAAAATTCCATGAGGTAACAGAAAGCAAAGAAGTTTAATGTTTAAAATCTTCAACTGCTGGCAAACTGAATTATACAATTGGCTGAATTTATTAACGGGCATGTAGGTAAAAAGTTCCCCAGCTTATGAGCCATACCTACAGAACAGTTTTCTGGTAGCTTCCATATGCTTTTCAACATATGTACTGCAGCTTTGAATTGATATTTCCTGGAGAAATTGATATGCTAAATAAAATAAGAAACTCAAAAGTTAGGGTCAAACTGCTAAAGTAGCAAGCTTATTTTGGGTGAAGATGTGCAGTTTCCACTGTTCTGGGAAGTCAGACACAGCCCTGGGTTATTTGTACTGCAGTAGCACCCAGTTTACCCAGGTTGGTAAACTGTTGTGATCAGCACTGTAGAATTGCTGCACAGAGCACTTCCTGGAGCTGCAGCTTTACATGCTGGACAGTTTTGCTTGCTCAGGTGTGGTGGTTAAACCTCAGCTAACAAGTAAGTACCACACAGCTGCTCACTCACTGCTTCCCCTTCCCTGCTCTCACTGGGATGGGGAGGAGAAAAGGTAAAGGTAAAACCCATAGGCTGAGGTAAGGCCAGATGAATAATTAAAGTAAAATAATATATTAATAATAGCAGTAGTGTTAATGAAAAGGAAAAAGCGTAATAAAATCCAAGAAAAAACGTGATGCGCAATGCAGTTGTTCATCACCCACTGACCAAGGCCCAGCTCATCTTTGAGCAGTGATCAGCACCTCACAGCCAACTCCCCCCAGATTATTTACTGGATGTGATGTTCTGTGGTGTGGAATATTCCTTTGGCCTGTTCAGGCCAGCTCGTCGGGTTGTGGGCACCCCCAGCTTCTTGTGCTGCTCTTCTCTGTCACAATGTGGGAGAATGGAGAGTCCTTGACTTGGGGTAAGGACAACTTAGCAACACCTGAAAGTGTTATCAACGTTATTCTCATCCTAAACCCAAATCATAGTGCAGGACCAGCCACTTGGAAAAAAATTACCCTTTCCCAGCTAAAAGCAGAACATCAGACCTCACACCACGTATTTGCACAACTCAGGGAAGACTAAAAAATATATCTGTGTGTTCTTGGGCAAGCATGTGTCCTGTCTTCTAACAACAATCTGTGGGCTGCATTCAAGAGGTGGAATTGGTGGGGTAAATTACTGTTTTCAGGATACAGTGCCAAACTGCCCTTGTTCTGGTAAATGGAAACCTCACAATGGTCTGCAGCATCTGGTGTCTGCCAAGTAAAAACTGGTCATGTTTTTACGGTTAGATGCTACTACCATTTAGAGCTAGTGAAGGCAATGGAGTGTCAAAAACCAGACACTGAGAAAACATCAGGTGGAAAAAAAAAAGAAGAGGAAGAAAGCAGTAGGGAAAGCATAGCAAATGCATAAGGGAAATAAGTACATTTTGTCACTGGTTCATATTGCCATCAGCTTTATTAGTTATTCCTTGTCTGGAATCTTGCTGTAAAGAGCAAATTGTATCAGTCCCATAGGGAGATATCCTTAATATTTGTATCTCTCCAAAGGTGAAAAATGTTGAAATGTTTTAAATGTGGAGGATGAAGAGTAGCTGAAGAAGCCAAGAATTGTGTCTGGATGGCTGTCAGCCTGGCTAAATAGCCTTTTCCTGGAAACAGGAATGATGCTTTTGTTTTGTTTTGTTGATGACACAAAATGAAGTGAAAGGCCTGGTAAATGTAGCATTACTGCCAAATACATCATAATTGAGGCAACTGCCAAATACATCATAATTTGGGAAACTACACAAGCTTGAATTTAACTGTTAAGGCATGAATATAGCAATACCTGGTATTCTGTGCTTATTCCATGTTCCTGTGCTCATTATCATCTGTAAAGCTGTAGCTTGGCTCTAAAATGTTCATGTTTATTTCAGTGGTGAACTGGTTGACCAAAGTGAAGCTAAAGTCAACAAAACTACTCTATTTTCTGCAATGTTTATAAAAATAATTTTAAAAGAGCAAGGTGAAAAACGGTGAGGAATGGATTCTCCCCAGATTCATACTTCCTTATATGTTGTTATACTCCATAAAAAATAATCTGTTCTAGAATCTGTGTGATTAACAGTGATTAACATTACAGTTGTTCTGTAGTCTTGAGATATAAAAATAAATCTGTAACAACACTACAGATGTGACTCTGATATAGAATAATCTCATTTAATCTAGAACTATGTAAGTGTATATGGAGGGAAGCAGTAATAGAGACAGATAAAATTGCCATTCCTGTGGAAGGATTAGGGGCTTTATTCCTATACTGTAGTGGTACCAAAGGTCTCCTTGTGAGCTACTGGATTTCACATGGCTTTATTACAACACTATATAAAATGTTATATATATATATAAAAGTATATTTTATAACTGGTAATGATTTGTTAGGTGGAAGATTGCATTCATTATTTTTCTACAATACTGTAGAATGAAGCTGGATTCAAAATATGATAAAGTTGTTAAATAAAAGACAGGAAAATAAAAGAAGTGGAGCAAGATGGGTTTTTGATCATTAAAAAAAAAGTGCAGGTATAATGGGGCATTGTTCAGTGTCAGACTAATGACTGTCTGTGAAAGAGAGGAGAAAAAGAGAAAAATTCATCAGATATTAAGAGAAATAATTAACTGCTTTTCTTTCTGTCCTGTCTTGGTCACGGAAGCTGACATTCCAATTAGCAGCTATAGTATACAAACGAACTCTCCAGGTTTTGAAAGGAGGTTTTGTTAGAGCACTATGAAATTGAGGAAAGATGCCATGATGATATTTCTGTAGAAACCAGGGAAGAATAGATGTTGCCCATACAAACTGATTCCATTCATCTAGCCGGATATCTTATTAAAATAGTTTGGAGTCACAAATGATCACGATAACTGAAATGGAAGGTAGGTAGGTCCTGAAAAAGGCAATGAAGAAAAGAAACAAGATATTGGGAAGGTGTTCTGCAGCTAACAAATGGCAGGGGGTTATTTGATGTAAAACTGGAGTTTTTTGAGAATGCGTATTTATTTTTTAATACAATTAAGAGGAAGTTACACCTAACTTCTTCCCTTACTCAGCAAGGCAGACAAGCACACATGTGACTGTAGATGGCTATGACTGACACCATCAGTTGCAAGTTAATTATGGTTTAATGTTAAGTGTGTATGTAAATATCTCTTGAAGATTTTTGGGTCAGGAATCATAAAAATGGCATTTCAAAGGAATGTTTCTTCTAATCTATAGATTTGTAATGAGATCAGTTTTGAGCTTTAAAGATGAAGCATATGCCTGCTCATATATTTGACGTATAATTAAAAATTTTATAGTTATATTTTCATGTATGAAAAAATAAGGATAGTTTCTAAAAGGTAGAAAAGAATGTTAATTCACTGGGGTTTTTTCATCGTTGTATCCAGATTGTGGTTTCTTTTTGTTTTTTTTACTTTGCCCATAAACGATACCAAGAAAATATTACACAATAAGATTTTGTGGGCACTCTTGAGTAGCAACAAATTATTTGCTTTAGCTATACCTGCTTCCTCAAGGTAAGGAAATTTGCAGCTGGACAGGAATGAAAAGAGTGTCGTGAACCATAGGTGATGTGGTCTGTAAAGAAGGAGAGAATGCTTCCCCTCAGTGAGTATTTATTGTTTTGTAGTTGTACATATATTTATTTACTGCAGGATGCTTTTAGGGTATGATAGATTGCTGGGAACTCATAGCCTATGGTTTTGATAACAAGTGTGAGCCAAGTGAAGCAAGTAAGTATTATGGGAATGAATTGGAAGGAGCACTTAGGAACAAAGCAGACAAAATTTAGTAGACAAGAGGAAGTCAGACTGTTTGGTCTTAAATGCTGAAGCTTTGTATACTGTTTACCATACAGGACATCCAACATACTTGCAGTTCTCTCTGTTTGATATTTGCTTTTTAAGGCTGGAGGAGAACTATGAGATTGCAGAAGGTGTTTGCATTCCTCGAAGTGCTCTCTACATGCATTACTTGGACTTCTGTGAGAAAAACGACACGCAACCTGTTAATGCTGCCAGCTTTGGGAAGGTAAGTCTAAACTGCTGTATGACACCTTAAAATCTCATCTGGTTCAGAAAGAACTAAACTACTGAAAAGAACTAAATCTTTTACTGTTAGAGACAGAGGTGTATGAATGAAAACTCTTCGTGTATTCAAGTTATTGGACAAAGGCTAAGATTCTAAGTATTTTGATGGTTGGAATAACGTCTAACCATGGCTAGGCTCCAGAGTACGTCAGTCACCAGCCTAGCTGATGGTGATATGGTACAAAAAATTGGCAGTTAGAATTGAATTGGAATTTGAATAAAGCCGGTGTAAATGCATCTGCATTATGACCTGCACTGCTTAAACAAATGTATAATTTTTTAAAAACAGAAGGCTAAAATTGAATTCTGGACTATGTCTGTGCTGTTCTTGTAAGCATAATATGGAGATCCTTTAATTAATGGTATCAAATGATGTAGCAAATTCACATGGCGGAGTACAATGCCTCCAGATGTGAAAGTCCAGAAAACATCTAGCTGCTTTTTGTGTGCACTGCAGGTACAGGCTGCCAAGCTATCCAAGTTATCCTCTCACTGTGATTCCTTGTGCTCCCTTTCCAATCCTGCTCTAGCAAGAGCCACTCTTGTTAACTCCAGATTCACAGTGGAGATGCACTCCTAGCACAGACATAGCTGTGCGTCATCTGGGTGTGAGCAGTGAAGCTCTACACTGGTAGCAGATGTTAATAGCTGGCTAGAAGGTTACATAAAGTTTGTATTTTGGTTTTGCTGGTCAGGTGATAGTTCCCTCTCAGTGAATAACATGATAATATTTAAAACTGAAATTATACCATAGAATGTGTCACAGGCCTTTAAAACCTGTAGACTGTGAAAAAAACAAAGTGTAGAGTTTGCCGCTGTTTTTGAAATGCTTGCAAGCATGAATCTGTAGCCCATTGTCCTGCAAGCTGTTCTCTTTTAGTGTTTGCAACATTTGTTCTATAGAATTTCTGGGTATTCAAAGAAAGAAAAATGTTTCTAGGGTAAGTGCCTGTGTAAAGAGTAGGTGAAGGATGTATTTAATGAGGTGACATTTTGTGTAGTGCATCTTTAGGTCAGGCAGTTTGGAAGGGAAAATAAAGTGTACTGTGTTGTAACATTACCATGTTTGTTGTGTCTTGGAGACCTGCATAACTCAGTAGATTCTGTGTCAGGTTTCTGTTTAAATACACTGCAGAACTGTGAATTAAGTTGTTCATTGTACACATTATTGCTACCAAGTGATAAGTATAGTGGCGACTTGTAATTTAGGAACAATGAAAATAATAAATAGATTTCATGCAGGCTCACACATTTGGAACATGGCTCAAGTTTACACAATGCTACTTGTGCTGCTGCTAAAAACTTCTGTAAATGGTAAGATGTAAACATTCCAGAATTCGTCCATGAGAACATAAATTTATCAATATGTGGCAGTTCTGTTACCCTGTTTAGTACTTTATTCCCCTTATCTCCTGCCTCTGATACATAGACCTGTTCATTGGTAGGAGTCTCTTAACCTAGCAGGACAGGTACTATGGTTTCCATCCAAAAATCACAGCATTCCAATGTGTTTTTCATGTGCTGTGGTCCAAGTGTTTTCCTCTCTGTTGCAAAAGAGTTCTGTGCAGGGTTCCATGAAACTTGTTACCTTTTTTGTGGAGGAAGGAAGCCCTGCACATTCATCATGGTACTGTTTCGCACTAGTACTTTGGGTGGCCATAACTTCTGCATCTGGGAATTGGCAATTCTGCACTGGTATGTCCAGGAACTTCAGGCAACAGGAGGAAAATATTGAAGTGAAACCAGCTTCTCCATCTGCAGAACCTGAGCAGAGCCCACTGATTCTTTCCAGCCTGTTACTGCTAACAAAATGTACTGCATAGGTATAAAGATCTGCAAGGCACATCTGCATTCTCTCAATACTTGCAGTCAGCTTCTCCTTTGGAGCATGTACATGTGTGAAATTTTAGCCAACATTGTTTATCATGTGACTTAAATACCATATTGGCAAGGTGAGTTGCATAAATGCCTTGGAGGCAGTTGAAGCAGTGCAGTGAAATAGATGCTGTTAAAGGCATTCTGCACTTAGCTGCTGCAACAGGGACCCTGGACATGTTTGTCCTCATTGGGAAACATCAGGAGCCCTGCAGCTGTCATTTCCTCCAGAGAAAGGAGCTAGTTGTTCTGTGAAATTGTAGACAGTTCGCCTTTCAGTAGACCACATTGAATTTATAATTCATCTCCGAACTTTAGCTCTGCAGGCAGTGTTAAATATTAGGGCTTTTTCTTTAACAAACTGGCATTTTTTAGAAAGAGACGTGGAGTTCAGCACATTAAAACAAACTGTACTAAGTAACAGTGTTTTCTGTTAAACCTCTAGGACATGGGCTGGACCTCAGACACTTGGTAATATTGAACTAATGAAATCAAAATTGGTCTGGGGACTAGAGAGATTAACAGAGAGACAGTAATACAGACTGTTTTCTGAGGAAACCAAGCTAACAGCAATTAAGGGAACAAGAAAAACAAAGAACAGAAATACTGTATAAATAAATATCTTTTAAAGAGCAACCTGTACTCCTAAGCCACATAAAGAATATATGAAATCAAGAATACTCTAATATGGCTATTAATGGGATATTAATATCATATTTCTCATATGACAAAGGGAGCTGTAACTTTGTTAGTCAAGATTTTAATGTTTTACTCACTCATTTAACATGCAAAAATTACAGGCAGTTTTATCTATACCAGCATTTGCCAATCTGCTATGCTACCTCATCTGTCATTACAGTACATTTTATTGTGTGCTAAAGATGGGACCCAGTATTCTCTTATATACCTTGACTAGGTAGTAATTAGGGAGGGCCCTGTAATTCGGTAGTTACAGCTCAGCATCAGTTGCAGAGTCCAGTGTTAAACTTCTGCTCTCACTGTAGACAGCCAAGCATATTATATTTTGATTTTGTGCAAAAGTGAGGCAGAAAAAGTAAAGATGTTCCATGGAACCAGTGAGAAGACAGGGAGGTACAGCGAGGCAGGGCAGGTGTGTCACTGAGTTATTATTAAATGTTGCATATGAGAGAGAGCAAGCTCTCTCACAGTGAACGTGTTCAGACTGTGAATTAGTCTGCAGGCAGGAGGAATGAAAGCCCTGTTGCTGAGGTCACTTAGAAAGGATGGCAGCCTTGTGCCCCTCAGCCCTGTGCTGCCAATGCCTTGGGCTCTGCTCCGGGACCTTGGGGCTCTGGAGAGCAATTTAACGTGTTTCCAGCTGAAAGTTCTGCCCCTGCCTGCTCCAGGGAAAGTTGTGTAGGTGTATGTTTGTTTTGGGTTTTATCTGAGCAACATGTTAATATAAAATGCTGGTGATTAGTAACACACTATGCCAAGAATTATGGTGGATGATGACTCTGACTTCTCATTCTTACTGCGTTTAATTTCGAAAAACGAAATCATTCTTAATAAGGGCCTTCACTGAAATCAAAAAAGAGCAGGAATGTTTTGAGCATTTCCAAAGCCCTCAGCAGCTATTGTGTAGGGGTGGGTGCCATAAGGCTTCTCCTGGCTCTACCATTCCTCCCAGCTGTTAGCTGCATTGGCAATTCTTTGAGCTTCTCTTTCACTTTTATTTCCAACACTGACTTTTGTTCTTGTTTCTTTTGTGACCCTGTATGTACACTGTTTTTTAGTCAGGACCCTCGAAGATGTAACCTTCCTCATCCATCTGCAGCGATCTGTCCCTTCCTGCGTGTCCTCAGTTCATTGCTTTAAATTTACTGGGCAGTGCTAATTCCCCTGCCGTGCCCTGCCACATTTCTCCCCCAGAACACTGAGAGACTTGTGGTGAAATCGCTTTGCATCCTCGTGAAGCTGAGTTCTTTCCAACTCCCATGTGCCCCCTGGAGGATAAATACTTTGCTCTTCTGGTTTAGTTTTTTTTTTTTTTTCCTTTTCTTTTGGGGCTTTCCTGCCATGTCTTTTGACAAGCAATAACAAACTAATATTTGAAGAGGAAAACGAAGGTTGATGGCACTTCTCAGGGTTATTTTCCCCCAGTCAGATGTCCCTTTACATCATTTTGGTATCTTAGAGGTTTAACATGGATGCATGCTCTCACAAATTTTGTTGCTCCGACTGGCCTTGCTGTAACTGAAAATTACATTCCAATGAATACATTTCACTAGATAACAGGCAAAGTCCACCATAGACTTGTAATATTGGTTAGGAAAGAACCTTTTTTTTTTTCCCAATAGTTTCCTTTGCTCCAGGGAGGTACAAGCTGTACCAGCCAAATTTCTTTTTCATCATGAGGCACTGTCTCTATGCCCTGAAGTTTTACTTTCAGGACTGTTCCTCCAAGCATGACTAGGATCAATAAGATTTACAGTTTTTTGCTGTTATACTGTACGATTTTAAAGTTTGAAAAGGGCAGAAAAGACCTTTATTGAATTCTCTTTGGTAATGACATTGTGATGTGAGGGCATTCTGATTTGTCTTTGTATTGAAATGCACATATCGGAAATTGCCTGCTGTTGTTCATAAGGAGATACTTCTTCTGATATGCTTTTTATTTCTTTGCTCTCAATTGGCTCTTAAGTAGCCTCAATAGTAACTGGTATAGCAAAGCTGAATTTACTCTTAGTGCTCTCTTCTGGTGGATTAAAACAGCACTTGCTTTATTATGAGCAATTTCTACAACACTGAATACAAAAATAGAACTGGGGGAAAATCAACGTAAATGTGAGGATGTGGTTTCTCTTATTGTACTGAACAAGTCTGTCAGTGCTATCTGAGCAGTCCCCAGTTTCCCTTCATCCCTTTTGAACAGCTAGGATTCCTGACTGAAGAGCAGTTACCACCAGTATGAGTTTTCTTCCCAACTCTGAATCTTCCAGGCTAAGATCCTCTGATGAGACCATAATAACACAAGTCCTGCAGAAGCAAGCAGTCATGCTGGTGTGGGCAACACTGATCCTGCAGTATAGCTGGAAAGGTCTT